TCTATTTTCTGGGTTCCCCTAAAAAGCAGAACCCTGAGATTTATTTTAGAAAGAAACTCTAGAAACAAAAGTGGGGAGCTAGAAAGAGTGAAGCAAGGAAAAAGGGAAAACCAGCCCCGGGGTACGCTGGCAGGTCATCGTTGCTGGGAACTGGGAGGCAGTCCCTCTGGCACCCTCACGAGGAGCTGTGTGAATGTGTCTCAGAGTCCACAGCCCCCGGGACAGAAGGGCGAAGGGGCAAGAACGGCCCCAGAGAGTGAACTCCCTTGCACTTCAGGTTTGCCCGTGATTTACAGGGACTGAGTAGTTTCTCAGAGGCAGCCACAGAGATGGCAAAGAAGACAATGGTGCAGAAAGCAAGACATGCTTGGAGAAGCTGAGATGAGGCGCTGTCAATTATGCATGCCTCACGATAGCTGGTTGTTACAGCAAAGGCTGGAGGAAGAAGTTCGTAAAATGGGGAACAACAGGGTTCTGATAAAATTATCCTATTTGGCATGAATGTTGCTATCGCTTTAGCCTATAAACCTTCGTTGGCAACACATCCAGCCTATTGTGTTAGCTCGAAGCTCTTCTCCTCTGCCCCAGTGGCAGCTGGGCAGAGCCAGTAACAGTTTGGGGTCACGATGCTAAGGAATGAAGAGGTGACACGTGAGAAGCAGGTAAAGGCTCTCTCATCCACATGGCTGCGTCTCTTTAGAGTCCTCCCTTCCTTGGCATTTGCTTTTTGATTTCCCAAATAGGACGGAGCTCTTCTAGGACTCCATTAAGGGGAAATCACTTGACAAGGACATGGGCTGCCTCTGACCTCAGAGAGGCCCTGTGACTTTGGGAAGCCACATGAGAGCCCCCATGAGGCCAGAGAGGACCCTCCGCCAGGCTCTGAGGCCAGCCTCTAGCCCGAGTAAAAGGCATCCTGGTGGCTCTCACAGGTTCTAACTTACCATGAATGGGGCCAATAGAGGGGCTGGCAGCCAGCCCGCAGCCAGCGGCTACATTTGCTTGGCATTTTTTTTTTTTGTACATGTATGTCCCTCAAGAACGTGGGGCTAGACAGGGTAGTTAGCATCTGTCCTCATGGAAAACAGCTGATCGAAAACTGAAATATTCCAGCTATAAGTTATGTCTGTTTCTTTCCATCTCTAACCCACAATTAGCAGTCAGTCCTTTTACTAATGGAAGATTGGGCTAAGCGTGGACTGATGGGTGGTTACATAGATACATCACACATATCCATGTATAGATGCACAGAGTACATACGTAGTATAGTATAGATATAAACACAGTAGATATGTACTTGT